TCCCTTTGGAAGAGGAAGGTATGTTGTGGCTCTTAGCTTCCAAGTGTTGAACCTTTGAGTTTAAAGATTCCAGCTTCTTGTTGAGATCATTGTAAGAGCAATCCACCTTGTTGTTGATCTCGGCTAGCTTGGTGTTAAGCTCGGTAGCACCACTTGTTTGCCCTTTGATTAGTTGTTGAAGCATGGTCTCATATCTGAGTCCTGACTGGAGTTGCTCCCTGCTTGGGCTTGAGTTGAGCCTTGGTTCTGATTGCCAAAAACCTTTGGGGGTAACCACGCTTGAAGTAAACGTTTGTTGGCCCCCTTGATTTTGGTTTTGTTGAGGTGGGTAGACCTGGTCTTGTGGATTCTCCACATTGGTGCTGCGGTAAGAGAGGTTCGTGTTGTTGTTTGTGTTGTAACCTTTGTAGTAACCTCCCTGATTACTCATATAGCACACTTCCTCAGTTTGTTGGTCCTCCCCCTCTTGGTTCACATCATCCTCACAAACAAAGTGAACTTGCTTTTGCTGGCCAGTCAAGATCTTGTCAAGCTTGTCATTCAATGTCTTTATCTCCTTCTTGTGTTTCTCATCATTGACTGAGCTATCTCCTCTGTCACTTCGATCATACTCCTCTGGATAGTTTCCATCACTAAGAGCAACATTCTCCACCAAAGCGAGCCCATCTCTACATCCATGCCCATAAAATGACCCTTACTAGCTGAATCCAAATGCATCTTGTACTTAGGGGAGACTCCTCTGTATACGTGCTTAGTAAGTTCTCTTTGGAGAAGCCGTGATGAGGACACTTCATTTGATATCCCTTGAATCGCTCATATGCCTCTGAGAATGTTTCACCGGTGTTGAGTGAAACTCGCAATGTTTTCCTTAGCTGAGCAGTTCTTGACGTGGGGAAAGAACTTCGCAAGAAAGGCATGCTTGCATTGTTCCCAAGTTGTCACGGTTCCAGGTTGGATTGAAGACTCCCAAGCTAGTGCGTGTCCACTCAAAGAGAAGGGGAACAATCGGAGCTTAAGAGCATCCTCAGTGACATTGTTGATCTTTTGCAAAGCACAAATTCTATCAAACTTTTCCAAGTGCTTCAAAGGATCTTCATCTTTCATTCCGTGAAAGATGGAATTCTCCACCAAGTTTATCAAGCTTGTCTTGATGTCGAAGTTGAAATTTGGGACCGGTGGTGGGGTAATGCCGGGACGATTCGCTGGAATCGTCGGAATATCGCCAGCTCCGATTTGTCTTGCCGGACGTTGAGCTTGAGCTGGATTCCCGGCTGTGGTGGAAAAACTCCCGGTGGAGGAGCTCCTCCGTGGTTATCTGCCATCGTATCAGTACCAGAGTCGTCGTCACTGAGCTGTAACTCGGAGCCTGTCTGAAATCCTGAACTCGACTCTGCTTCTACTCTGTTCTGCCGTTGACGCTCGCGTTTAGCTCGTTCAGCTCGTTGAAGTTCGTCGGAGCTTAACAAGTTGGATTTGCCGCGAGAGCGTGTTTGCATACACCTGAGAGTAAGACAAGCAAAGCCCAGGCAGATTAGGTGTGTAAGTTGCAGAAATTTAAAAACTTGAACTTGAATTTTTCCAAAATCGAAAAATCCCAATCAAATCCCCAAGATTGGCAACGGCGCCAGTTTGAAAACAAGATTTTTATAGATCCAAACCCTCAAATCTCTGCTCATATCATTGCAGTATAGTTTAAGGTATCAATCCAAATCTCAGGGAAGATTGGGTTCTAAAGATTGAACAAGAAAACTTCAAGCCAAGAACAAGATTTGGTTTTTATGAAATCCGAACGTTAAACAGTAAAAATACAAACTTAGAACAGTGAAATAACGGTCCAAATCAAGATTCAAAGAGGAAAGAAATCGACTTTGAGCTAAAAGACTTGAACTTTGACAAGAAAATGAAGAAAGGCGATAGCTTTAGGTGATTTCGGATGGAAATCGAGCTAAAGGAAGAAGCTTTAAGACTTAGAGATAAAACCGAGTTTCTAGGCTAAGGAAAACGAAAGCAAGAGCTTATCACTATCGTGAATGAGCTCGAATGCAAGGTCCAAACTCAAGACTCACTATCGTGAGTGAGCTGTACACCAAGCAAGCTTTAAACGCAGATCCCATCACCAAAAAGCTTTCTAAACAAATCGCTATCGCGAGCTAGAAAAGCGGATCCCTTGTCTTAGATTATCTAGCTCTCAAACACACTTTTGATGTGTTGAGAGCTTGAGATCTGAGCCAAGATGATCAGAAATGACTCAGCCTTAAGGGCACTAAGCAAGGAGAAACTCTAAAGGTTCTAGCTTTAAGCCCAAACTCTCCTTTAAAGCTCTCAAAACCGAATCACCTAAAACAATCTAAAGACTACTCACTCATCCTGTTTGACAACCCGATTCTCATAAGAGGAAGGTTGTTTCACAAGTAAAATGAGATGGAAACTAAAATGCAAATGACAAGTACGTGATTTGATTAAGAGAAAGAGACCAAAGCTTACAAAGTCTTAGATCTCGAACTAGAGTATTTCTTGGTGGCAAAATGAAAGACAAATTACAAGATGCCTAAAAACTTAGGACTTTTTAGTTTATATAGTGGAGACTCTAAAACCCTTCTTCTTTCCTTCCCCAAGATTTAAGCTCCAGAACGCCGCGTTTCATTAAGGCATGGTCAACTCTCTTCTTGGTCAAGAAAGCTTGTAAGGCGACAAACGGGTTTCTGATCCTGGTTCGCATCCTGGTTGCTCTTTGTCTTGACGTCTCCGACACTCCTTCTCCCAAATGGCTCCAAAGCTCCATTAAGCACCTGATTCAGACTCAAAATGCAATGTATATGCAATGCAAGTCCTAATGAAGATGCAATGTGAATAGATAGAGATATGTGGATATAAATGTATGAGAATGATGCCAATAAGGTGGAAATATGCATGTAAATGTATGCTAATGTATGTTAATATATGTGTATATCACATCCCAAAATAGTTTAATAAAAACCAGTGTTCTTTTTATAACATCTTGATATCAATGTAAATTATATAATCTAACAAAAATAAAATTACTAAATAATAGTTTTCCTAGATTTATACATAGTCTTCCTCCTTTTTTAAAAGTGACTTTTCATATTCTTTGTATAAATGCTAATTATTATAAAATTAAAATATTAAAAAATATTGTATATATAATAGGAGAGTTGTTCTCTCCTCCTAGCTATCCACATCAGCAAAAAAATCATTAATTGTATTTAAGATATTTAATATATGTGTATTAATATTTCTTTATATATATTCCTATTTTACACATAAACAAAACTAAGAAAAATACACAAACAATTTAATTGATTAATATAAAGATATGTGATATCTTGATGTTAAAGTTAAAAGAAAGTTGTAATATAAAATGGAGATGAAATAAAGAAATATTTAACTTGAAATAGTATATAGTTAGGTTTTAACTCAAAGGATTTATCCTATTTAAAAATGTTATAATGTGCTTACAAGTAAAAAAGGTACAATATAAATTATTTAACATAGTAAAAAGCTAATAAAAAATTAGAGTTAGAGTTTGTTTTATTAAAAAATAGAAGTCGAGTTATTATTTAAATTTCATTGCAACGAAAAGTATGAAAATTTTAAGAATGGTGACATGTTTGTTTCAAAAATACAATTTATATTTACAAAACTAACATAATAGAAAATAATCAATTGTCATATGCTACCACAACAAAGCATATATGTAAGAAGTTATACATGTTTTTGTTTTTCATCATATTTTGAGTGCAATTGCGATTCTACACCATGTTTACAAATTTTAACGTTGAGTCAAATGCATATTAAATTTTAGAAATAAAAACTCGAGATGAAGTAAGGTGTTAATATCTTAATAAAAAAAATGATCATATTGTTAGTGTTAATTGTTGGGTTAACTCAAAATATAACCAAAACATGGAAAGTTAACATATAACCATCAATTCAAAATTTCAAATCAATAAATATAAATAAAATCAAACAGAAAAATTATCGCAAACAACCCCGCGCTTGCGCGGGGCTTTAATCCCTAGTATATATAATAAATTAAATTTAGTTCACGGAAAGAGGGATGTCAAGAAAGTAGAGAGAGAAAGCGTAAACTTAGTTTCGCTCACACATTCTCAGCTGCTTTTGAATGAAAGAACACAAAGCGTATAGTTTTCATAAAAGGGCGTTCATTGTTGAGAATCTAGTCAAAATATTGTGATCCAGTTCACTTCTTTGGGTGCTGAAAGGATGGGATGGTGCTCAATGGTGTTCGATTTTCAATTCATGTTCATCTATGTATTTAGATATTATTTGTTTTATTGAATTATATTCAAAATCATATTTTATACGTCAAGTTGATATACAAATTTTTCGCTGGTAAAAGTTAACAACTCTTGGATATATAATGTTTGAAAGCAGTTAATTCTATAAATAACTATGAATTGTTAAACGTAATACAGTATAATACTTGCCAACAAAAAAATTTGCATTTGCATTTTGTAAACGAAATTCTAATGCAAATACAAAGGTTAACATATATTCACACTCCAGTGTAGATTCTAAACGCAAGTTTAAAGCGGGACAACAAACGAAAATGCAAATTAAGTATAAATATCCAAGTATACAATTGATAATCACTCGTAGAAAAGCCAACAAAGAAAGAGAGAGAAAAAGGTACGTGTAAGTTTTTTTTGTGGAGCATCAGCCACTTATTTCTCGCTGTAACACCTCAATGTAAAACATAAGACCATGAAATTAAGTCCCCACAATACCACTGACTAATGGGCCAACACCATAATAAGCGACGTTTGTGTTATTAGTCAGCACGACGTTGAGAAATGTAAGCGAGCCAGTGAGGACGGCATTCGGTGAGCTAATTGTGCAGTCTCCGGTAGGAAGATAAATTCTGATATTGCAGATACTAGGGTGGAAGAAAAGTGTTTCCAAGAAGTTGAGAAATATGAGAAAATAACCGCCCGGGTTAGTTATTGTTTCAGCGAGGTTGTCTGTTAAGCCACCACATGTTAAGACAACAGTGCCGCCCGAGATTGGTGGCGTGTTCGGATCTCCTTTAAGGTCACACCGGGCGAGACCAAAGATTGCGACACTGCCTATGGGGAGGTCACCCAGTACAAGGCCATGTGAAGGGGAAGAGAGTGAAGTCATGATGACAAGTATGGAGATGAGATAAACATTTGATCTCACCATTTCTTTTTTTCTGTTTTGTTTCTCTCTCTCTATCTCTCTACTTGTTTTATAGAGTGGTTTTGGCTGTGTGTGGTAAAGATGCATACGGAGAGGGGTATTTATAAGGGTAGTGTTCCGGTTTGAATCTTTGATCAATTATGTTTCTTGTAGAAATATGTTTCTTTATCAGCTTTGCCAGGTCACATTATGACGTTATATTAAAAATTAATATGTGTTTTTACGTGGACGATATGTATAATGTATTCTTTTAATAAGAGTTTCTATCATATTAAAAAAATCGTAGTTAATGCGAATTTGTTCAAGTGAAGCAAGAAAAGAAGTGTATGCACGTGTGGATAACTCAGTGTTACTGAAGTTAATAAAAATGTCATTTACTATAACTAATTAAACGATATTAACTGGATGAAAATCATGTTATTATCCATTTTCCTCTTCACGCACTGGGTCTTTCTTTACTTTTGGTAGCCATCGGCTTCAAAGTTTCTTAAGAACTAATCAAGTTTGAGGCAGCAACCTAGGCTAGGACCTTGTAAATATTTTATATTTCATGGGGCCATTATCCAAAGTAATGTTCATTGTAGTAGTTTGTTTGTACTTTAGCTTGAGTTAGAGCATGAAAATGTGACGGATGGGACAAACTTAAATAACTCTTAATTGCTTAAGTTTCCAAAGAAAAGGAAACTGAAAGATGCAATCAGATTTATATTGAGGGGAAAAAAAAATGACGTATGAAGTTATCGTTAACCATAATAAATATGAGATGTTAGGATTTGAGACTTGCATGCCAATAGAGGACAAATAATAAACTGTTTCTTTAACCAATAATTAAATCTTTCAAGATACATTCAATCTTTTTATATTCACGCCTCATTGGTAAGAAAAAACTGTCCAGCCTCGTTGGTCTCTCGAATCAAAGCCGTCTTTGTTGGTTTCTCCACCGCAAAAGGACCGGAATAGGAGCACTGTCCATGAAGACTCTCTGACCGTCTCTTGCTGTGTACTCATACTTCCACTGTGGTCCTACAAGCCATGCCATTGCCGTTCCACCAAGCAACCCACCAATCTGAGAATTCACCAAAGATGTTATCAGACCACTACTTGGTTAATACATTTTGAAGGCATGATTGGGTTACTTACATGACCCCAGTTATCTATGCCTCTGGAGACCAGACCCAACGCCTGCATAGTCAAAAGCTTGTTAGACCTTGAGAGAAATTTATCTTTGATCTGTTTGTATAACTATGACTAACCATGTTTAGTGCTATAACTTGAGCTATCTGCATTAGATCTTCATTCCCACTTCTGACCATCTTTTTGTGTCTCATGACAAATACAGCAACCGATCCAACCTGTCCAAATAACAGCATTCGTTTAACAAAACTTGCACGAGTCTCACTCTCACACAGAAAGGCTTATAGTTCCAATGGACTTACCAATCCGAAAATCGCACCTGAAGCACCAACTGATGGGGCTTTGTTGAACCAGTAGCTCATTGCTGAACCTAGAACTCTTAAAGATGGATTCTGTAAGTCAGGAAACTCGAAACAGAGAGAAATATAAATCATCTACATGAAAGAAAGTAATTACTTGCAACAGCAGATGTCAAATAAACGGCAAGAAACCTCTTAGGGCCACCTAAACTCTCAGCAGTTGGTCCAATAGAATTCAAAGAATAGCAATTTATCTAAAAAAAAACAAGTTTTAGCCATAAGCAGCGTTTGATTAGAAACCACAAGGCTGAATTCAGGTTTGGTTTAGAAACAGAACCATGAGATGCATCGGATTCGCATGAAGAACAGAACATGTAGCCAGTCTCCATAGCTGACCTCTATCGATTAAGCTGTTTACCTGCTTTCACACACAACATATGAATCTGCAGCAAGAATCAAAAACTGTCTCACAATTTGATCAAGTCTCTGTAATATGGTTTACCTTGGCTCCCCATGTTAGAACTTTCCCATTGGATGCAACTTGTGCAATATACATTCTGGCAATCATTTTAAAACTCATAAATCTCAAAACTTTATTAACATGTGAAACCAAAAGGTATGATCTTTTGTTAAACCACATACATTACGTTAATGGCAAGGAGGACATTAGTCCATCTCCGTCCACTAAGTGAGTTTCTCTTGGAGGTCTCCTGGTTTGATGATGATGATGATGATCCTTCATCACCACCACCTCTAGGGTTTATCCTACTCTCTCCTCCGTTAAAGAAACATACAAATGACGATGGTGGAGACACTCGGATATCAACTCTAGACTGCAGAAAATTAGCTCCATTGAATAGTATGACTCTTTGATATCTTGAGAACTCCGTTTTTGCAGCATCAGAAAATTCCTGCAGTTTCTGTAAAGCAGCATAGTCAAAACTCAAAAGCCTTTCCTGAAAGATTTGATTTTTAAGAACAGTGACGTAAGATTTGAGCTTTTCGCGTTCTTTGGCTTTGGAAATTTTCAAGCTTTTGTGGTAAATCACGAGGATTAACTGTGATCGTCGTTTACTCAACAAGAAAGACAAATTCTTCGAATTCAGTGATCGGAAATTGAAACATTAACGCGGAGAGTTTCACAAAGCAACAGTCGAGAAAATTTGAGCCTTTGTATTCCAGAAATTCTACACAAATCCCCAAAATTTCGGAGAAAACCATTAAATAGTAGCTGAAACCTGAAGGGAAGAGCGGAGATGGAAGCCAAGGCGGAGGTGACGGCGAACATGGTGGCAGGCGTGTACGGATGCGGCGGTTGCGAAACCTCGAAACGCCGCAGATCCAGATTCCGGCGGCCAGAGATGATGTTGAGATAATGACAATGATACCATCTCTTTCGAACTATGTCTTGAAATTAAATTTCGCTTTGTACACAGAAATAGTTTTGAGAAAGAAAATGATCTCAAATTAAATTCGTGTTGAATTTCATTTTATGACATCGGTTTAGTGAAGATTAAAATGTTCGATTAATTTAGGATAAGAGAAGAGGTTAATAGTAGACGTCTGATTCTCACCACTGTCACAACTGAGTATTGAGACAAATTTGATTTGCCAAAATAAAAAAGCATAAGATAAAGAGAAAGACATTAATAAGATTAGCAATGAATGTTGAGGAAGATGGATGATTCTTCTTCTATTCACAAGCGAGCTTGGTGTCAAAGCTGCTTAAGCAAATCGCAAACGCCTGAAACGCCGATAACGGATACCTATAATCCATCGTGAACATATCTTTCCCAACTTTACCAAACTGGAGAATCACTTTGTCTTGCTCCGGGTGCGGCGGCGGTGGTGCAGCTGTCGTCGTCCCTTGCGTCGTCGGCGGCGGCGGTGGAAGTCTTGACGCCACCAGCTGGAAGTTTTTAACCGACGCGACGGTGACACGTCCGCGGAAATTCAAACACCAGCATTGTAACTGCTCGTGCCACCTCGGCTGCTTGTTTTAGAGGTTGTGATCCGTGAATTGAACAATTGGGAAGACGATGGAAGTAGATGGTGTTTGTTAGAGATCCTTAGTGCTCTGACGACAATACGAGAGAGCAGACGCGTTCTTATCCATACGGGAAGCTTAAAGTTTCTTGTGGAAGCGGCTAAAGTTGGGAACTTGGCGTCGAGAGAGAGAGCTTGTCACGCGATTGGATTGATCGGTGTTACTAGACGAGCTCGGCGAATGCTGGTCGAAGCGGGAGTGATTCCAGCGCTTGTGGATCTGTTTCGAGATGGTGATGAAAAGGCAAAGCTTTTAGTTGGTAATGCCTTAGGGATCATATCGGCACAGACAGAGTATATTAGGCCTGTTACGGAAGCTGGTTCGATTCCTTTGTACGTCGAGCTTCTCTCCGGGAGAGATCCAATGGGGAAAGATATTGCAGAGGATGTGTTCTGTATACTAGCTGTAGCTGAAGGTAATGCTGTTGTGATAGCGGAAGAGCTTGTGAGGATATTGAGAGAAGGCGATGAAGAATCCAAGTTTGCGGCTTCTGATGTGTTGTGGGATCTTGCTGGTTATAGGCACTCTGTTTCTGTTTTAGAGACTCTGGTGCGATTCCTTTGATGGTGGAGCTTGTGAGAGATGGGTCTCTTGAGTTCAGGGAGAGGATTTCTGGAGCTATTTCTCAGTTGAGTTACAATGAGAATGACCGTGAGGCCTTTTGTGATTCGGGTATGATACCGATTCTCATTGACTGGTTAGAGGATGAGTCGGAAGAGCTTAGGGATAACGCAGCTGAGGCGCTTATTAAGTTCTCTGAAGACCAGAAGCATTATGGTAGAGTGCGTGAGGCGATGGAACATCCTGTGGTCCATAGTATGCAGAGCAGACTTGCTAGAATCCGAGCCTCCCATGAACTGATGGTTAGGTCAATGCGAAGGGTTACGCTCGAACATCTTGCCCATGATCCACATTATAGCTAATCTCATGGGAAAATCCAGCTTTCCCACTTGTTTTGATGTCTGTTTATAATCTTACTTGAAAAAAAGAAGAGACTCAAATCCTGTTTTGTTTGTTTTTGTACTTACTTTCAAAACCTTTGTATACATGTCCCAAAAGATATTGAATTTGAATGGATATGGAATTTACATGAGTGTGCATCCAGTGGTTGGACCATAAGAATCATAGACTCCTTGATACATCTCACGTTGTGGCTGCTCGTAGCAAACTGAGGGGCATTGAGCTAAGAGTCCATTGTCGACTGTCGTCTTTTTAGGTCTACATCACTTTAAAAGTAAATGATAAGATCATCGTTAAGTAGTGAGGTTCGCTGCAACGCCGAAAAGCAGACTTCCGGTTCTTGATTGTTGCTGAGATAAGGTTGCATTTAGGAAAGATGCATTGTGCATTTACGAAACCGATCAGTGTTGTGTTGTTAGGTCAAACAAAATACGAGATCAAGAAATGATACAGCATCTCCAATGTAAAACTCCATTTTTAGTTCCAAAATGGGGTAATTGCAAAATGGAGATGAATTTTACTCCACTGTATTTCTCCAATTTCTCCCCAAATAAGCAAAAAAGAATATATAATATATTATTTGCGAAGTCATTTCCAATGGAACCACCACATTCAATCTCAGTCGCGGAATTACAGAATTACCCTTAATGAAAGTCTTGATAAAATCTTCAAAATTTCCTTTTTTTTATTCACGAACTAGGAATGTACCCGCGCTTCGCTGCGAGAGTTCTTCTATACCATTATCTTTTATTTAAAGATTGTTGTTAAATTCAATTGAAATAAATTAAAATGAGTTTAATCAAATATCTTATAATACAAATTGATGTAAATTTAAGAATACAAATTGACCTTTACATCAATTTGGTTAATAATTTTTGAGATTGACTTTTACATTAATCTGATTATATTTTTATTAATAAAAATAATAGAATTAAACTACATGATCTTTTCCGTAATCCTTACCCACTAATATCCAAATTCTATTTTACGAATAAATTTTGGATAATAGTTTTTGATACCTGATCGACTTTTACATCAATCTGATTGTATTTTTAATTATAAAAATATTCGTTTGGATTATAACTACATGATTTGTCATGAATCTTAGCCATTATATCCAACTATTATTTTACAGATAAATTTTGGGTAATAGTTTTTGATATCCGAACATCCATTTGATTGTATTTTTAGTTATTAAAAAACAGTTTGAATTATAACTATATGATATTGTTTGTACCCGAAACTTACCTGCTAATATCTAATTTTTATTTTATAGAAAAAATTAGAATAATAGTTTTTTGATATCTAACTAACTTTTACCAGCTAATTCTTGATCATAAACATGCAATGTTTAGGTTTCGATAGTAGTAAAATAACATTTTTGATTATTAAAAATAGGAATAAAAACTATCAGTGTGGCACGGGTTTCATTTTGCTTTTGTTTTTCGAATATACATATATACCTATATTTATGCCTCATGCCAGTTACATTTTTTTTTTAGAACTGGCATTCATATTAAATTGCAAAAGGAAATGAAAAAAGATTATAAGCCCAAGGCTATAGTGTAATTTAATCAGCCCAAAAGAACTTTATAGTGTTAAAACAGCCCAAAGTTGAAATCAGCCCAAGTTGAAACACCCCATCCAGGTAGACGACGATAGAGAGATGATGACAGGGAATCCGAATCAACACCTCCGATTCACAAGTCTTCACCCTCGACGGTCCGATGAGAGCCATAGTTGCAGTAGCTTAGATGCCATCGCCGCGTTTTGATCTCGATAGCTAGCTATCCGGTTCCTGATCTGCCGATCGATCGAGACAGTGATAGAATCACTCGTATTGTAGATTTGCCGATGCAATCTTCCATTTCTTTCTTGCCAAATCCAGTAAATCGTCGCTTGCCAGGCTAACAGTGTAAGCATTTTCCATAGTTTACCTGCTGATAGAGAGATCATCTGAGATAATGAATCTGCCCACATGCAAGCAGGTTGAAGATTGACGCGTCTAGCCATAGATCTCCAGATTTCCAAGCTGAAAGGGCAAATGAAGAAGAGGTGATCCCGAGACTCGGGGCCAGAGTTACAGAGAAGGCATATCGGGTCCGTCTGGAGACCCCATGATAGAATCCTGTCTCTCGTGGGACAACGATTCAGGACCACCAACCAAGTAAGAAAATTCTGCTTTGGGATCCCTCTACTTTGCCAAACTACTTTATTCCATGGAACCCTTGATGACTCTGCCTTAGGTTGTCGTAAACAACTCCTATGCTATACCTCTTTGAGATAACACCATCCATTTCCCATTCATAAGAGTTCAGTCCCTCTATTAGGCTCATTGTCGTGAGATGAGCTTGAAGACTAACCATATTCTCTGATCTTGCAGGCGGAAGAATCCACCTCCCGTTCCTCCACATGGTCGCCAGTGTTGCCAAGGCCGGGATTCCAAGCCTAGTGTTTCCCGCTCCTTGCAGATACGTTTCCAACCTACCAAAAGGAGACCAATTGTCCGTCCAGAACCGACACGCCCTTCCATCTCCAATCCTTAACTTTATCCAGGGGTATAAATCCTCCCTGCTTTTTATCAGTTTATTTGCAAGCCAAGAGTTATCCCTGTGAGTTTTTACTGTCCATAGATTACTCACACTACCATTTAACACTTCGTTTCTGAACCAGGCCACCCACACTGAGCCAGACTGGAAGAAGAGAAGCCAGATGAGCTTCAGACAACATGCCAGTTACATGAGCAAACACTTTTCACCATAATGAACTCTTTTGATCACCATTGCTTAACTTCCACCCAAACCCTTGAGAAATAGTTTAGTTTTTAGTTGGGCATTGAGTGGAAATCCGGTTGTATCACTCGCCTCATTTTTCAGCTCAGGTTCTACTCTAAACAACATTCTCATAATTAAAAAACAACGTTGAAATATGCAATCTAGTATCAACTACAAGCATATATTTTAACGCTGTAAAACTTTCTTAATAACTTGTTGGTCCTTAACATAAGAAGCATGAATCAAAACTTTGAGTGTATCAGATTCACCATCTATGCAATCGTTTATGTCACGGACTGAGAACATACCTAAATACCTAGACGTTTTGGAAGCACTTAGTGAATCTTAGTTGCAGAGAGCTGAAACATCAGTGTTTTGATGTGCTTGTATAACCCATTACCACTGCTCGTCATCTTGCACTCATGGTATACCTTAAGGCTTAAGCTCCAAAATGCAATCACAACTTTGGTTACAATCCAAATCCTAGACATCACATCTCATAATCAGTTAATTCAAAATACTAAAAAGCTGTAATATCTTACAATCGATTCAATCAAACCGTTGAACTCAAAAGTGTTCACAATCTGATGCTTTTCAAGTCCTGGATGATTCAAAAGAACTCAAACTGTTTCTAGAAAACCCAGACGAATCTACTCATATACATGATCTTTCGTTGTATTGCATCTCAGCTTTCGTTATGGCTTTTGATTACCCGAGCAGTAAAACAAACCAAGGAAAAAAATTAGCTGATATATCTTCAGATTAAGGACCCAATCCCATATAAAATCAGACCGATTTCGAAAAATTAATCGAGAAGCTAACTTCGCCGAGAGATGCTTACGGGGTCATGAAAACAGAGCGCGGACACCGAGCCTCTGGTCGTATCGTCATTTTTTCAAGAATGAATGATCAACAAACAGTAAACGTTTGGATTGAATTAACGACGAATCGAGGACGCATATATGGGATTGAGATTGCAGATTTGAAGAAACAGAGAATCGAGAACGGCGGCCATGTAAATTGAGACCTTGAGCTAAGCCACCGTGAGCTTATGGTGGTGTTTCATCTTTCGAGCATCTGAATCTTTCTTATCAGCTTGGAACGATTAGCGAGAGAGAGAGTTTTTTTCAGCTTGGGACGATTAAGCGAGAGAGTGTTTTCTTTTTAAAGATCCAATTCTGATATGTAACTGTTCTCCACGTTCGTGGTATCAAGGAAGAAGAAGAATAAAGGAGGACTTTGAGCGAGAAGAGCGAAAGGGATCAGAGAAAAATCAAGACGAGCTGGTGAATCCTTCTTCTCCTTACAGAAGTTCTTCTTCTTATCCACCACAAATCTGCTCTCTCTAATCCGATTCCGTGGAGAGAGCACCGCCTGACTCGGATTAAGCTTCGATTTCCGATTCTTCTGCGTCCACAAATTGTCGTCGGAGTCGTGCGAAGGAAAATTGATGAAGAGAAGAATTTATCGACATAAACGACGGAGATTGAGCTAAGAGGAGACGGAGATCTGGAATAATCTAAGTCCCTCAAAATGAACAGCATTACACATAATTTTGATTTAGATTTTTTTTTTTTTTTAATACGAAAACGACGTCGTTTTGGTGTAAGACGAAAAAAAAATAATAATAATAAAGCCCAAAACGACGTCGTTTTGGTGTAAGACGAAAAAAAAAATAAAAAAAATAATAAAGCCCAAAACGACGTCGTTTTGGTGTTAGGCGGAAAAAAATAAAAATAAAAAAGGAGAGTGCCACATGTCAAAGGCTGGAAATTGTCCAAACCTTATTAGTTATGTAGATCTGATTGTCTATTAAAATATTAAAGGATAAAAACCATAACTACCATATTATCAAGGCACAATTTTGGAAAAAAAAATATAGAAACAAAACCTAGGTTTCTTAACCAACTTTCTCTTATATAAATAGATAGCAATAAGCAAAATCAATCACAATTTAAGTTTATTTTGTTAGACAGTGATTTTTGGATCAAGAGGCCACAATTTGATTATTGTTCCACTCTTCAGATCTGTACGTGTTGGAGTATTGATTTCATTATAATATTTGGTTTCGTGACACGAAGTGGTTGATGGAAGAGACCACGAACTGCTAATTAATTCACTATGGAGCTTTGTGTTTGATAATTGACTTGTTTATGAGGTTCGGTTTCTTCACTGAGTGACTGCTGTTTGTAATCTCTTTTTCACTTGGCTAAGATTGTGTTTCCCTAAACTGGTTCTCTGTAAAAGTCTCTCTTTATCTCAAAGTCCAGAATTCATTTATTTTGAATGTCTTGCTCTGTTTTGTTTTGGTCGGATACTTAGTTCCGAAATTGCAGGACTTTTCTCTTTTTTATTTCCTCTTTTTTTTTCCAGACTTGATATGGATTGTTTTGGGAATTGTTGAGTTGGTGGCTTGGTGCAGAGGATGTTAGAAAGAATATGCGAGAACTGAGAATAGAGAAAAAGAAAACAAAAGAACCGTCAGTTTGGCTTAACAACTGAGGTAGTTATTCTGACATCTGAGTTATTCTGACTTCTGTTTTTTTTTTCCTTCAAATTTTGGTTCATACTCTTTTTTGTTGAATTTTCCAGTTTTTTTTTTCTTTTTTTTTTCTGTTTATAGGTCATCAATCTCTAGAAATCGTCACATGTTTAAAATAATATCGTGTTAGATCATTCATTAAGCCATTACTTGCATCCATAAAAGATGTCAAGTGTTACACAAAAGATTTTCTTCGATTTCAATATGTTTAGGCTTGAAACTATCGCGGATTCTTTAATCGCAATTGTCTATATGCCATGTCTCCCATGAATGCATGTGACAACTATTAATGTTTACTAGATGAAAGCTCGCGCTACGCGCGGGTGGTATTATCACTTTTTATAATTTAATTTGTTTTTTAACTTAGTTTGTCTTAAATTTCAGTGCAAAACATAGAAAAAGATAATCACCTTAACGACCTCATAATTAAACTGACCCAAACTTTATTAGACATTTTCTAAATTATTTATTTATTATATTTTGGTTAGAAAAATTTAGGAGTTTGAATACACTATTTGAGCTATATAATTTTTTTCCTGTAAATTTACAAATATAAAAGTTGATAATATGTTAATATCTAGTATTCTTAAGTTTACAAATACAATGTTTCTCGGGTTACGTGGAGAATTATATTTGCCAAAATTGTTATCAAGTGTCGCTTCAAAGATGGTATATTATATATTCACTTTTTCCAGATACATTGTGTCCAACTACTTATAATATGGAACAGAAGGAGTAATATACATCTTTCCCCACGAGCACACATGTGTTATGAACCATATGCTGAGTTTATTTCCTTGTAATTTATAGTACACACAAACTATAACAACTTATAGTGTAGTCTTAAACATTAGCAGCATCAATCACTTTAAGACTAAAATAGTTAAAACATAAATTAGAGATAAAGAACAAAATTTCACCAAGGTTTTATCGCCGACTGGAGTCTTCGAGGTGTTGGTCATCGCCGGTAAGGAACCGTTGAAGGATGCTGATGTTGAGTGTTCAGACCAAAATCTGGGGGTTATGCGGCAATTCACCACCTTTGACAACCGATTCCATCAAATTAGAACCCTAATCGCAGGAAATTGAGAAGTTGCAACTATAGGTATATAGTCTCGTTTTGTATATAGTCAAAAAATCAATTTGGTCTATTAATTACATAAGCAAAACAGTTAAACTTAAGAAAGGACGATGAGTTGCATGTTTGTGTGGAGAATTGAATAGTTGAAAGTTGAAACGAAAGAAAAACTTTTAGATATGAAAGTAAATAACGCGGAAATTAAAAAAAAAAAAAAAAATTTGGGAGGGCCACCTGTCCACCTCTCCAGAACTGGCGTGATATTGTTACTTCTATCATTTATTTGTTTTTAAAAAATATAGTATTTCTTATTAGGTCTGAGACTTTTACCCGAAACCCGAGCCCGACTCGGAAAACCGAACCGAAACTTAAAATAGAATCTCAAATCCCAAACCTGAAAAAATCCGAAAAACTTAAGGAAACCCCAAAAACCCATAATATAACCAGAACCGAATCCGAACCAAAACTTAAAAAATTTGAACGGTTTCTATATCTCTAAATCCAAAAAATCTGACCTAAATCCGAACCAAAACCCGAAGTCCCAGATTTGAAAACTCATATTTGTATTTTTTATATTTAATAAAGTTTCTATGAAAAATCTTAAAAATCCTACTTTTAAAAGTAGATAGTATATTTTTGTTGTGTTTGTATATGCCGAAAATTCTTTTATAAATTCTTTCATTGATTTTTTATGAACTTACACTATAACATACACATGTTCTTATATAATTTTATTTTACATTTGATGTAAATATGCTAATATTCCGAACTTTTTTAAAAATTAGTTTGCATAATATAACTGACCTTTGATCTTGTTGGCCTATGTTCAAAAAAAACATTGAACATTATTTGCAGAATTTTTTTTTTTTAGAGTCTTTTGGATGCAAACTAAAACCATATGATTTCCAAATACATATTATTTTCATCAAATATCTTCAGAGAAAGCATAAAAGCAATTTCATTAAAATTAAATCTTGGGTGCAAATTAAACCAAATAATCTCGAATTTGATTAATCTGCCTTTTTTTGTTTTACTTGTATGATGTTATGATTATTATTGCCTGTTCTGTAAAAGTAATAATTTTTAGGAAATATTTTTTGGGAACTCGTGTTTTATTCCCTCGTTTTATTTTGTTGTTTTCATTGTGATATTGATGTAGTTCAGTAGTTGCGGTTTTGTTTATTCTTACTAATCAGGTTTAATACGATCATGTAATAGAGTTTGGTACGTACTTTAGGAAACTGTATAACGTTTGTGTTAGTTTGGATGTCTTTCCCATTACATAGATCCCAAATATTTGTTTATGATAGGTGGTTATTTTCTTTTAACATGTATATAGAGGAGTCCTTCTGCTAATCAGGTTGACTTTTTACACCAGAGCAAGTAATAGAGGGTAACTGAGAAAAGTATGTAAGCTTTTAAATCAGAATTTTGATAAGAAATTTCTTTAAGGGATGATGAGAGTACACCTAGTAATTTCATACTATTTAATAAACATAAACTGGCCATGTATCAAATAAGCAAAAATGGACTTGCAGGCAGAAATTTCTCTTTCGATTGCTTGTACTGCAGCCTTTTCATAGCCAACTCCAAAAGCAATACGAAATGATCCTATGACAGATAACCCAAAAAAAGTTCGACATTGGCGACAACACTATGAAGCAAAAACTGATATAATCGGTAAGTAAAATCTTGTCCTTCTCAGCTAGGAAACATGTAAATCAACAAACGAATTCTACGACCAATGTGCATCTGTTATTACCTTCTTGAACCTGGGAAGTAAAGTGTTGCAGAGTCTGAGTAAGTTGACCAGACAGAGTCTTCGTTGAAGAAACTTTTGACCCCATCCTTCTCCAAAGCTTTTCACCTTTCTTTTGCTTTACCTTGAGCTTAGCATTCTCAATAAAAGCGTTTTGGAGTAATTCCTCATGCAAGTATATGATCCATTTATTCGTTCAGCTTCGAATTCTGGCTCATGGATAAAGATCAAGATTTCTATCAACTCTTCTCCACTGTGTTTGTAGACTGATCAGTCTCAATCCAGTCTAAATTCAACCTTCCAATCCTATGTGCCAAGCTCGTATTGTTTACATATCTTGGAGGCTTTTCAGTACCATACTGATGGATGCCATTGTCTATAGCATCTACTGCCTGAAATTGTATAAACATTCACAGTATATGAGATTTCAAGAACTTGACCACCATATGTCACATCAAAACTGCAATATCTTTCTTCTTTAGCAACCTTAATTTGACAACTGTCGCAAAAGCCATGATTTTGGTGACATTCAAAACACACAGCCAGCAACTCTAATTTGTTCTCTGTTGTTCATAGTCAATAGATACCAAAGAAAATATCAACTTACAAAGCAACCTTGATAGAAAGCACTACCTCAATGAAGTTTTGGTACACAGCTAGAAACAATCGATTCACATCCGGATGTGTCTGATCAATTAGCTCCTTAGCATTTATTTCCAAGCCATAGTGCTATAACACAAAAGCATCAGAAGAATTTTCTCTAATTGACCACTAAATCACAAGAAAGTTTCTTCATTTACCTAATAGATAAGCCCGGCACTACTGAGTTTAGTGTTCAACCCATGGCCAAATACTTCAGTGAAGCCTTTACGGTGATGGTCATAACGTTCTCTCTTAGGATCATACACACCTCCAACATCAAGAGCCGCATCAAGCTTATCCAAAACCTTATCACCACATCACGAAATCAAGTAGAATCTTAAGACAGAGCTGATGATGAAATCGCATAGGCATATCCATTACTGCACAAAATTGTAGCTTTACACGCATAAAACCACATAATCGAGGAGAAATCTTCAAAATTCCAGAGCTACATCAATCATTTCTCGGAAATTTCGAAAAATCCAAATTGAATCCAAAAGAAAGAAGATTCGCACACAGATAGGTTCGATTACATGGTAAATAAAACAGCGAGTACCTGATGATCTCTGGTCCGGACGATTTGGGCATTGGTTTAGATGAGAGGGAGAGAAGGGGAAAAAAAAATAGGGAGAATTTTGGAGAGCATGCACAAACCTCATCACAAACGAAATCCTCGGTGCCAACAGCATGAATCGAAGCAACCAAATCCCTCATTGTATGTCTGTCAATGCCACCTTCTTCAATGTATTCATTCAGCATCTCGTCATTCACCAGCCGCCGCGAAATCACACTGCTGCCTCCTCCATACGGCGGTTTCTATTGAAACTTAACCGTGAAATCTCTTCCGCCACATCAAAAGCGCCTTCCCGGTACTCAGGAAGCTCCTCCTCCTCTTTCCTCCCATCACTTCGTCACCTCCTTTCGACATTACGATCCGATCGGGAACCATCCTGATATTCCTTCCCTCGCATATCGAGCTCTTAAGCGTCTCACTGTAGAAGCACCGAAATCAGCTTTTTTCTCCTCCTTTCGGTCTGAGGAAATCGATTCTCCGAGTGAACCCGTTTCCGAAGGAGCCACTGGATAGATTATTCTGCGGCGGCGTCCATGGAAGGTAGGAAGGTAAGATCGGCCACGGTTTCTGAATCGCCGCTATTGGAGTTAATCGAATTTATATTCAAAATGTATACCGGTTACACTAAACCGAGTGGTTAGGCTAATGTACCGAGTGTATAAAATAAATCCGTTGTATTATTCAATACAACAAAAACTTTTCTTCCATTTTCTCTTCTTCTCTCTAGATTCCTTTTCTCTAATATGGTATCAGAGCTTCAAGCCTCGAAAGCTCGATTAGATCCATTTCTTTCTCTCTTTTTTTGACCTTGATTCGATCGTTGATTCTCACTTATCATTTCTTCGTTTTGCGATAGTTTTCCGGTCATTCCGCCGGAATTCGTAAATATCGTGAATCCTCTTTCAAATCAAGCTTCGTTTTCGTTGTTATAATGGTGATCCGCCGGAAAGTAACCCGTCGCACCAACGGGACAACTTCCTCAGCTCGCAAAACTACAACTCCCGATGATCGCGATTCTTCTCCGGAACCTGCGTCTCCGTTGACTTTCACCATATCGCCGGATAGTGTTCATTCGCCGTACTATCTTACCAGCGGTGACAATCTCGGCCACTCTATTATCTCTGAGGTACTCGATGGATCTAATTACGATAACTGGCGTATTGCTATGAACATCACGCTTGATGCTAAGAACAAATTAGCTTTTATCGATGGATCTATTGCTAGGCCTAGTGAATCTGATCAGCTCTTCAGGATTTGGTCTAGATGTAATTCGATGGTGAAATCATGGATTCTCAACTCCGTTTCAAAGGAAATTTACAAAAGCATTCTCAGATTTAATGATGCTTCTGAAATTTGGAAAGATCTCTCGACTTGTTTTCACATCACCAGTTTACCGCGATCTTATCAACTCTCCCAACAAATTTGGTCTCTCAATCAAGGATCAATGGATCTCTCCACCTACTACACCAAATTGAAGACGTTGTGGGATGAGCTTGACGGTACTAGTTGTGAGAAAACGTGTCATCACTGTGATTGCTGCAAATCTATGGAAAAGAAGGCAGATCATGCTAAGGTCATTAAGTTCTTGGCTGGTTTGAATGAATCCTATAATGTCATTGCAGCCAGATCATAATGAAGAAGAACGTCCCTGCTTTATCTGAGATCTATAACCTCTTAGATCAAGATCATAGCCAGCGAACTATTCTTCCCGTTCACAATGCCACTGCCTTCCAAGTGACAGTTCCAGATGCTTCTCCTGCCTCTGTCAATGCAGCTCAGACGAATTATCAGCCTCAGAAGCAGAATCAACGAGTCTGTACTCACTGTGGTTATACTGGTCATACTGTGGATACTTGTTTCAAAATCCACGGCTATCCACCTAATTTCAAGCATAAGAACCAAAAATCTGTGCCTGAGAAGCCATCTTCCACCAACAAGCCTTCTCAACAATCTCGTCCCGTTGTTGCTCAGGTTGCGATTCCTTCAGTTGACACCGTACCTGAGAAGTTCACTCAACTGTCTAAAGATCAGATTCAGGGAGTCATCGACTACTTCAATGCGCAGCTCCACTCTTCTGTCAATCAACTTTCCGATGATACTCAGCTTCCCGGAGGTACTATCACTACACTTCCTGGTATGGCATTCTCTTCCTCTACGTTACACTTTGTGGGAGCCTTGAGAGCCACCGGTAGTGTCTTGAACTCTGAGTCTTGGATCATTGATAGTGGCGCAACGCATCATGTTTGTCATGACAAGCGCTTGTTCTCGATGTTATCAGAAAATGTCCATTCTTCTGTGACTCTGCCTACGGGTTCTGGTGTTCAAATCACAGGAATTGGCAGTATCAAACTCTCTGAATACATGATTTTGAAAAACGTGTTATATATCCCCGATTTTCGACTGAATCTCCTCAGCATCAGTCAACTGATTAAAGATTTGGGATATCGAGTCTCGTTTGACAGTGTTTCTTGTGTGATACAGGATCCTATCAAGGGACTGATGATTGGTCAGGGTGAAGAAGTGGCTAATCTCTATGTCTTGGATGTTGAGTTTGGATTGCAGCAGTCTTCTCAACACTCTAGTTTTCTTTGTAATGCTGTTGTTGATTCTGAATTATGGCACAATAGACTTGGCCATCCGTCAGATTTCAAAACGGATTTTGTCACTGATGTACTTGGAATCAAAAATAAGAATAAAAATCGTTTTCCGTGTGCTATTTGTCCCTTAGCTAAACAGAAACATCTTTCTTTTGATTCCAAGAACAATATGTGTACTAATGCATTTGATCTTCTCCACATAGATCTATGGGGTCCGTTTTCAGTGCCTACTGTGGAAGGTTATAAGCACTTTCTGACGATTGTGGATGATCACACTAGAGTGACTTGGGTTTACTTGTTGAGAACAAAGGATTAAGTCTTGAAAGTGTTTCCTGATTTCCTGCAGATGATTGAGAATCAGTATGGTTGCAGAGTTAGAGGGGTTCGTTCTGACAATGCACCAGAGTTGAAGTTTGTGGATTTGTACAAAGCTAAAGGAATCAAGGCCTTTCACTCTTGCCCTGAAACTCCTGAGCAAAAATCAGTCGTCGAGAGGAAACATCAGCACATATTGAATGTTGCTCGTGCTCTCATGTTTCAAGCGAAGGTTCCTTTGGAACATTGGGGCGATTGCGTTTTGAATGCTGTCTTTCTCATCAATCGTTTACCCACTCCTCTGTTGAAGAACAAGACGCCGTTTGATATGTTAACCGGAAAGAAAGCTGATTATAAGGGCCTCCGTGTTTTTGGCTGCCTTGCTTTTTGTTCCACACTTCAAAGGGACGAAACAAGTTTCAGCCTCGAGCACGACCCTGCGTCTTTCTCGGTTACCCTTCTGGTTATAAGGGCTACAAATTATTGGATTTGGAGACCAATAAAGTTCATATTTCCAGACACGTTGTTTTCCATGAAGAAATCTTTCCCTTTGCGAAAGATGTACGCGAGCCCTTCCCTGACGTTTTTGATTCCATGCCAGATTCTTCTTCGTCTTCTAGTCCTACTACTCTAGATAATGTCATTCCTGCAGTCGAGATTGATGGTGTTGCTCCTGTGGTTGAGAATGATGTTCCTAGAGCAGATAGTTCTACGGAGGAATCTGTGCATCGGGATGAACGAGGTCCTGCGAAGCACTCCTCCAAAGCCCCTACTTATCTTGATGATTAGTACTGCAATATGGAGAAAGCTGAGATTCCATATCCTCTTGCCTACTATCTCTCTTATGATGAGTTGTCTGAGGATTACAAAGCTTACGTATGCTCTGTTAACATTCACTCTGAACCGAGCTCTTTTGCTCAAGCCAAGAAGTTTGATGAATGGCTTGCGGCTATGAATGAGGAACTCATTGCTTTAGAGAAGACATGAACTTGGGAAATCTGCTCCCTTCCTGATGATAAGCATGCTATTGGTTGTCGCTGGGTTTACAAAACCAAACTCAATGCTGATGGAAGCCTTGAGTGTTACAAAGCTCGTTTGGTAGCTAAAGGTTACACGCAGCGAGAGGGCATCGATTTTGTTGATACCTTTTCTCCAGTAGCCAAAATGACGACTGTTAAGACTCTACTTGCTGTTGCTGCTGCTAAAGGATGGAGTCTTACGCAGCTTGACATTTCAAATGCCTTTTTGAATGGAGACCTTGAAGAGGAGATCTACATGACTCTCCCTCCCGGTTACACTGCTAAGCCTGGTACAGTCTTACCTCCTAATGCTGTTTGTCGCTTGAAGAAGTCTTTATACGGTTTGAAGCAGGCTTCTCGACAATGGTTTATCAAGTTTAGCTCTGTTCTTCTGCGTTTGGGATTCAAAAAGTCCCACGCAGATCACACTCTTTTTGTGAAGAACGAGGGAGGCATCTATGTTGCTGTGTTAGTCTATGTGGACGACATTATCATCACAAGCAACAACGACTCAGCTGTGGACACTCTTAAGGTGAATTTGACGGAAGCTTTTCGCCTGAGAGATTTAGGTCCACTTCGTTATTTTCTTGGCCTTGAGATCGCTCGTTCGGTTAAAGGAATCTCTGTGTGCCAACGTAAATACACTTTGGAATTGTTGGAAGAGGCTGGTCTCACTGATTGTAAACCTTCAAGCATTCCCATGGAGCCTAGTATTAAGCTGGTTCAAGATTCTGCAGAGCCAGTCATTGATGATATTGGTTTGTATCGCAAATTGGTTGGTAAGATGATGTATTTGACGATTACTCGTCCGGATATCACTTATGTAGTCTACAAGCTTTGCCAATTTGCCTCTGCCCCAAAGAATTCTCACCTTCAAGCCGCTTTCAAAGTCTTGCGTTACTTGAAAGGTACTGTTGGCCTTGGTTTGTTTTACTCTGCTGAGTCAAATCTCGTCCTCACCGGATTCACTGATGCTGATTGGTTATCTTGTCCTGACACTCGTCGTTCTACTTCGGGTTACTGCATGTTTCTTGGCAATTCCCTCATCTCTTGGAAGTCCAAGAAAAAGCAGGTTGTTTCCAACTCCTCAGCTGAATCTGAGTATCGTGCGATGGAGTTTGCGTCCCGGGAGGTTGTATGGTTGCGTACTTTAGTTGCTGAGTTTCTCGCTCCTCAACCCAAACCGGTTCCTCTGTTTTGTGACTCAACGGCAGCGATCCACATTGCTAGTAATCCCGTTTTTCACGAGAGAACTAAGCATATTGAAGGGGATTGCCATCAAGTTCGTGATCGTATCTCTGCTGGTTTCATCAAAACGATTCATGTCCGTACCGGCCAGCAGCTCGCCGATATTTTCACGAAGCCGTTGTTTCCGGCTCAGTTCAATGCCTTATTGTCCAAGATGGCTCTTAAGTCCATATATGTGCCATCTTGAGGGGGGATATTGGAGTTAATCGAATTTATATTCAAAATGTATACCGGTTACACTAAACCGAGTGGTTAGGCTAATGTACCGAGTGTATAAAATCAGTCCGTTGTAACAAGATTCATTCAATACAACAGAAACTTTTCTTCCATTTTCTCTTCTTCTCTCTAGATTCCTTCTCTAATAGCCGCCGACTGGTTGTTCATGGAAGCGTTAAAAATGTTAATGAGTTTGAAAAAAAAAAGTGAAATATCTCTCCCGATACGTGATTACTATCAAGGAGAGATTTATAATTGCGGATGTGAAAAGGTTAAGTGGAAAGGAAGACGAAGATGTAGAGATGAAAGAATCAAAGCGTAATCAACAGAAAATGTAAATCGAGTATTAAAAAAAAAAGGAGAGAAATTCGTAAAGAATGCCACGTGGCCATCTCTCCGGTGCTGATGTGGCGGTTAGCTGGAGAGCTGTCCAACTTTTATAGTATAGGATTCATGATTCATGCTTATAATTTTTTCCCCTCGAATTATATATGTTCTGCTAGCAAGCGTTACAATTACGAAGCTGTCGGAAGATGGACTATACATAGAAAGCTGGGATATAATCTTATTAACTTTGACATAGTGAACTTTTCTCAAAACCTGTGCAGATATTTGCTCCAATCCTAGGAGGTGTACACTGGATAAGAGTGATTAACATTAGGGAATGCAAGTTCAAGTGTCTTCATTCACTACATACATTTAATTGAGAATTTTGAATGCCCTGCTGGTATAATTTATTGATCATAAATTTTGCCTATTTGCATTTTGGACATGCTATTATGAGTTTATGACCTAAATCTGAACATATTGTATGTACTGGATGGCTGTAAATAGTACTTGCATCGGTATTTGCTTCAGACAAATTCCTTGTGGATCAAGTAATGGACAAAAGTGGGGAATATACATAGACGTTAGTTCGTGGGATACTAAATGCTAGGCCTGCGACTTTGGGCCGAGCCCGATAACCGAAACCGTTTCCGACCCGAAATAACCGACCCGAGACGGGTTCGGGTTTGCCAAAATAACTGATCGGTTTTGATATTGAGTTGAGATAGGGTTCGGTTCGGTTCGGTTTATACCCGATAACCAAAGCAATAACCGAAAACCGATTATTAAAAAATATAATCCCACGTGTGGTTTGGTATAAGAGATGATCCTGTGTGATCATTCACACCAAAGCAACTGTCTTACCAATATATCTAGCCGTCCATATTCATTAAACAAAGACCTAGAAATAAAAGTCCAGATCTCACATAAATTTGCTCTGCAAATGCAAATACAGAAGAATCCGAAGATGCGGCACCTAAATTTTTTCTCTGATCTCGTTTAACCTGTTTTCTAATTATCATCATTTCAAAATCTCTTTACTTGGCTTCTTTTGCCCCTTTGTTGTGTTAGGTTTGCGAGATTCTATTAATGGTTTGCCCCTTTCTCTGCAATTCTTCCTCTCGCTATATTTGTGCTCCTCTTTATTTCAAGTTAAACGATTGTTCAAGCCACCGATGTCCACCGATTCTTCCACCAATCACTTGCATGTTTGTTACAAAGCATTTGGACAGAATTGATTTGTTCTTTTTTCTCTGAAAACAAAATTGATTTTCTGATTTTCGGGTTTGTGAATTAGATTCGGGTACAAAAAAACCTGAAAACCCGATAATTACCCGATAATTAGATTCGGTTTTTTCTCGGGTTTTAGGTTCAACCCGAAAACCGACCCGAACCCGAACATTAAAACCCGAATCCGACCCGAACCCGACCAAATACCTGAATGGTTTCCAAATTTCTAGACCCGAAAACCCGAAACCCGAATTATCCGACCCGAACCCGACCGGTTACCCGAATTCCCAGGCCTACTAAATGCGTTAAATACCTTCCTCGACAAAAGAATGGGTACGTATTTCCAGTTTTGTTATGTTACTAGTAGAGTACCCGCACGTTTGTGCGGTGTGACGTTGTTGTTTTGTGTAGAAAATTTAAACCCTAAATCCGAACCCGACAAAAAACCCTAATCAAAAAATTTAAAAACCCAAACTTTTTTAATAGGTCTAAACATGAAAATCCGAAATCAAAAAAATCCCGAAAACCCTGACTGAACAAAAAAAATCTGGAAACTTTTTCACCCGGAACCCGACCCCAATACCTAATCAAAATTTTAAAATACTCAATTTTTTTAATATATCTAAACCCGAAAACCAGAAATCTAAAAAATCCGGAAAACCCTAAACTGAAAAAAAAAATTGAACCTAACCCGAACAGAAATTTTCAAAGAAACCCGAACAATTTCTATATCTCTATAAAATTATGTCTCAGATTTTCACCCAAACCCGAACTTGTCTATAAAAACCCGAAAATCCAAAAAGCATATTCTATTGATTTGGAATTATCGTTAGATTATGTTAAGTTTTTTTTTTGCAGATTTTTAAGAGATGGAAAACGGAAGTTTTCTAAACCATCGGTTTATTTTAAGTTATTATTCTTGTATCCAAACAATTTTTTCCATTTATTCTTCTATCCAAATAGATTTTTCTCTTATTCTTATATCCAAACAACTTTTGTTTCCATTTATTCTTCTATCCAAATAGATGTTTCTCTAATTCTTGTATCCAAACATTAGAATGTACTTCTCAATTAATAATATAAATATTGATAAGTGAAAGTTAAGCAACGAATCCAAATGATTTGAAACCATCTTTTAGTGATTAAGTGAACACCAAATATCTTTTCCTGAAGTAAGTGTCTGTTTGAACAAAAAAGAAAAAGAAAAAGTGTATTCCTTATAGTTTTCAGATGCACTTCATAATCATATGAGTAGGAACTAGGAAGAACTTAAAATTATGGTCGTATGTTAAATATTAATTGATTCTTATTGGGGTACCGCCACTGATCTGCTCTTCCTTCTATATTAGACTTCAAAACGCCGTCTTCTGGAATGAATTTTATTTAATTCGTAGGCACATTGAGCTAAAAATATATATATATATATATATATATATATGCTCTGTAATGCTCCTTTTGTTTTAGCTGTATAGCTTTGAAATTGATGAGGTGGAAGCAAGCTATTAGAGGTCGAGGGAAAAAGACATAAACAATGATTATACAATCACTTATCCTTTATTATAACCAAACAATACCTATTTTAACAATTTATTTTAACCAAACAATAACTATTTTAACAAATGAGTTTATACCTTTTTGTATATGTGTGATTCTGGACTACGTATCTATGTTCTTAATTATAGTGTTTGGATCTATAGAAAAGATGGTGGCGAATATAGGAGCAGTAGGTTGGAAAGTAATCAAGTGGAAAACGGCTTGTGTTTTTAATCGGCTATGATTCATTTTTCTCGAGAAGATATTCAGTGGTTTTGGTTCTTTTAATTAATAGTTCCCTGAGAATATACCCTGTGCCAAACAGTCAATATATATGTACCCAAAATCATCGATGATCTTGGATCTGGAAGTGACTTATGTCGATCGTCATACGAGTCAAAGAAGAAAGCTGTTTAATCTTAGCAAGTGACGGTCTTTCGAATTGTCTTGACAAAGAAATAAATGTGCGATATGGCTAAATTATGACTTATGTCATACGAGTCAAAGAAGAACGCTAAAAATGTATAGAATTAATAGAGTTATATTCTGTATTTCTGTTTATTTATTTTTTTTTTAAACTGTATTTCTGTTTATGTTTAATACTTTAAGGTTTAGGGGAGATAATATGGGTTTACGGTTTATATTTTGGGTTTAGGGTTTATTTTTGGGGTGGAGTTTAGAGGGGGTGTTGGGTTTATTTTTGAGGTGGGGTTTAGAGTGTGAGTTAGGGTTTATATTGTGGTGGTAGGGTTTAGTATTTTGTTTCATAATAAAAATTTGAATTGTTTAGATAATTGTAATACACTATATAAGAAAAAACAAAATTTATGACTAATAATTTATGCAAAATTGCATTGACGATATAAAAATAATGGATTAAAAACATTTGATATTCATGAATATATTAACAAAAAGTCTAAAATGGAAGTATTTCCAAATTAAAACATAAAAAAATGTTAATAACAAATCTAAAAATATATATAACAATGAATCAATGATAATGTAAATATCATAAACCATCGATTTTTAGTTACGTAACACCTACCTACATTGTTTGTTTGTTTTTTCTTCGACACTTGCACGATGGACCTTCCTCAAGTTTTGTATTCTCTTTCATGCTCCATAGTAAGGGGGGTGGTGGTGGTGGTGGGAGGGGGAGTAGTGTTACGGTGTGTTTGGGTTGATGACGTAAGGTTTACATTGATGGGTTTAGTGTTGTAGTGTGGAGTTTAGGTTTAGGGTGTAGGGTTTATATTAATAGCTGTAGGGTTTAGTTTTTGGTATATTTTAAAAAAATTTAATTATTACGGAAGAATATCAAAATTAAAAATAATTTATTATAAATTTATATCTACCTTTCCAAATTACATTCACAAATAAAAAAAATTAAAACAATTAAAGAGACCGCTTACCCCAAATACGACGTCGACGACGACAGTGGAGGAACGGACCAGAGAGAGAAGCTACGCCGTTTTAGAGAGAGATTCGTTTCGTTGAATTTAACAAAATTAGGGTTACGCTCTCTATAAATATGAAGGGGGATCATCCCGGTTTAATTTAAAATTCCGGTTATGTAAACTTCTATTTGCGATCTACAGGTGCCGTCTACAAATGAAGTCATCCATACCTTAAACACTAAATTGAATGTTTTACACAAATTAACTTATCTAATAAAATAGTTTTCGTTGAATATACACAAATTACATTATAATCAACACAAATATAAACCTTAAATGACTATACAACGTATAAACCTTGTTTTCAAAAAATATTTGGCTAAACCCTAACAACTTATACTACTAAACCCTATACTTCAAACCTAAACTCTATCCTTGATGGACCAAATACTCATGAAACTTATAAACTTACACATTTTCATGA